CAGAGCCAGGCCCCTTGCCCATCTGCTCTAATGCATCACACTGCTTTTTATATGGATCAGCGTGAGTGGGAGTCGCTATACAAACGCCAACAGCTCCCTCCTGCCACCCCCCGGGCCGTGCGGTGATTGATAACATTTTACCAGCTAGTCACACCCGTGCCCATTTCTACACTTGGTTGCAGTGGGGTCCATTGCTGACATCCACAGTGGCCATCATTGCCTCGCACGGACCAATGACATCATCGGCTGTATCACAACAATTGGCTCGGACGTGTGGCAGAAGTGTACGGCTTCTTCCTATTCATAAAGTGCATCGTGACAGCAATTGACACCCTGCTCGTCCAAGGGGGTGATATGAGTAGTTTCAACAATAAAAGCAATTCTGCAAAAGGGCTGCAGGTGCCATTCGATATGAAATATGTCAGTTATTAAATCACATAGCCTGCTGCTGATATATGTTTATTGCTCATTAGCATGTCAGCGCACCTTTAACGCTCTCCAAACAACCGCCGATTGCTGGTGTGGGATCCCGAGGCTGTTTTGTGTGAAGTCCTATCGGCACATTGGTCCAGTTAACGGCCACTTGGCTCATAGACAGCTATCCATCGCTATGTCAGCTTCACTAATCCAATTGAGGGAACCTGCTTGGCACGGGACAGGCTCATCTGTCTTTACCGCTTATTAATGGGTCTCATGAGGGGAGGGGGTCTTAAGGTGGAGTTAGGCCTACATATTTTGACAAGAGTCCAAAATACTTTATAACACACATAAATAACTATGCAACTTTGTGATTCAGCTCAACATTTTCATGGCCATGCCCCCTTTTTTTTTTCCTTTTGCTCTCATGATATTGCTAATTGTGTTCCATTGTCTTCCCTCTTTAATGGATGCAACCCCCCTCACGGCGTGAATATGCTTACGTTCAGTTTGTGCACTGTCATCTCCTTGCCGTGCAGCTGAAATTGATGCAACCCCTTCCTTTTAATTAAATCAAAAATATTTGGGGATTCTGGGTAGGTGGAGGGGGGGTATGGGTGGCCAGCACAAAGGTTCAGCTGATGACAGGGCAGGTCAAACTTGCTCTTGTTCACGTGCCAGATGACATCCAGCAAGTCTGGCATAAAATTCCTCCCAAATTAAAAAGGTGCCTGCAAAAAAAAAAAAAAAAAAAATCTCATTTTAATAATTTGTTGTTAGATTTTAATCCAAAAAGATGACAAAGCGCCTCTGCACTGTAACCTTCTTTGAATATTGTTTTCAAAATAGTATAACAAAAAAAATAAATAAATACATGTCTGAAAAAAAAACAGCAATCCCTAGAATCTCTCACAGGTTAGGCTGGCCCCGGGGCAGATCGGTAACCACAGTCTTAGGAACGAGAGCATAAAATTCCCACACATTAGGAGATGGATAATTGGATTTCCTGTGTCCTGTATGGTGGGCAGCGCGCTTCTGCAGCTGTGACATTATCAAGGTAACGTAACCTGAAGGCTATGGTGCGGCAGCTCAGGCCCCGCAAGGCCTGTCCTCCGGTTCCACATGGCTGCCTGCTTGGCTATTCATCCTGTGGACCCTGCAAATGAAATTATGGGAGGAAGAGCAAAGGACATTCTTTGGGAATTAATCCCATTTATGCCTAAACCCACTCCTGATTTTTATAGTGAGCCCATCTTAAGATGTACACCGCATTCACAAATAGACAAGGCCTTCCGGGGATTGGAGGGAAGTAGCCTCCTGTGTGCATTGGCTTGTTTGGCGACTCATTTGTAGACACAGACAGGAAACAGAATCAATGTTATTTTCAAATATCAAATGTCATTGAGAAACTTCTGCACCCGATCTCAAGATCAATGCCATTTTACTAAGACATCTGAAGGCTTTTTGTTTATTGGAATATTACGGGATAGCATAGCATATGTCTTATATTAAAGAGTGGAATCTAAAATACTGACTCTCAAAAGACTACAGTTGACTCGCTCACAAATTTAGTATGAATGTGAATCGCTGCCATTTATTGACAGGCTAAAGAATGAACATACACAATCTATTTTATTAAGCGTTTACAATATCAAAATAATACATTAAAAGAAAAATCACAATGACAAAGTACATAAACACAGCACACTAGGAATCAGATTTAGTATGTTTTTATGATTTAATGTATTCTGTGAAAAATAGTAATTTGATTTGAACTGTTTCAACACAATAGCATTGTGTTTGCTTTGACAGACTTTTTTTTAACACTGAAGAAGGAGCATAGCGTCAAATGAAACTCCAGATATGATTTAAGATAACCTGCATAAAATAAATAAGTACAAATATAGGTACGTAAAAATGTGTCTTAAATGGCGTCATTGTTCTAGGTTTGTACATAAAAAGATACACAGTAGGCTAAAATGTCACAAAACGACACTGTTTAAAATTACCATCAGCAGTGTCAACTAGGTTAGTTTTGAAAAATAAAAAAGTGAATACACATTCTGTTGTCTTAAATGGTTCAACGTAACTTGACAATGTGGAACAAATGACTTTTTTTGAACAGCATTATCCAGCATGCAGCGGACTGTAATTAGCCGCCTTGTTAAGGTCGCGACACATTGCAGATAAACACTGCCCCCTTGCGGCATTCGGTGAACATAACCACTCTAGGGGGAAAAAAGCCCATCTCAGCAGAGTTTTGAGATACACATCAGAGAACAGTCGGTCCTTTTTTTCCGTTTAAGTAACTTTTATGGAGCCGATTTAAACGTTTTAATTTTAAAGACTATCGGATCATCTTTTCAAATGGATAATACTGTTTTAATAGGCTTGTTTGACGCAACCCATCCGTAATGTAAATCCCAATTGAAACTTTGTTTTTCCACTGAATCATACAAACCAAAACAATAAAATCCTGCACATTCTTTGTTGCCAAATCATGTTTTGAATGATTGTGACGCAACACTAACATACAACGCAAATCTAGATTTGCATATTGTTGTGCTGACTTCATTAAAAATAATGTTATTAAATTTGCTAAATTACTCAACGTACATGTGCACACAAATTTACGTCAAATCCTCACACACACGCACACACACACACACACACACACACACACACACACACACACACACACACACGTACACGCACACGCGCGCGCATGCACGCAGGCAGGCATGCACGCGCGCACACACACACACACCCACACACACACACACACACACACACACACGCACACACGCACACACACACACTTTGACTCCTGCAGTTTTAGCACAAGGGCTGCGATAATTGCAGTTACTTCACTGTCCTCATCGGGACCAGAACAGACCACAGACAGGAATGAGTGGGCCAAACAGGCACACAAGAGGCACAGAATGGCGGACCTCCTCAGGCAGCCACACAGCTCGTGCAGGTCCCTACCATTATCCCGTCCTCTACCCTAAACACGCAGTTTTAATTTCAAAGCTCTGATTAGCTGATGATTGCATGACAGCCGCCGACGAGGTTCCCTTTTCGCCGGCTCCCAGACTGCAACTCAATCATGCCCAATTAGTGGGTCCCCAAACACTCTCTCTTATTAGAGGACTCATAATCGACTCATTGTGTCCTGATTTGGCAAATAAATCACTCTGGAGGCGGTTGACTCCCCCCTCTCGCCTTCTCCTCTCACCCCTCCTCACCCTTCTGTCTTTTCCTGCCCTCTCATCTTTTTGCTTGTCCAGAGGTTCGGTGACAACGTTTTCAGGCGTGCTATTCATTGGAGCTGACAGTCTGAGCAACGTCGGACTCCCTCTTTTTTTTTTTTTTTTTAAATTCCTCCTCCTTTTTTATTCCCCTCGAAGAATGAAGAATAATTTAGCGGCTAAGGCAAGGCAGGCAGGCAGCATGTGGGTGTCCTTGTCCTACAAGGTTAAGAATGTATTCCATCTGAGCAAGAAAGGAGAGAATTAAAATAAATGATGGCCAGATATTTATTGTGAGTTTGTAGATGAGGCCGAGTCATTGTTGGGGGGCTGAGTGAGCTGAGTGACTCTCCGACTGCCTAATCCAATGTCAGTCATGAACTGCATTTTGATATGACATTTAGTTATACGCCATTTTAATGCATGTATTCAGTACTTCAAAGGGGATAAGAAAGAATATTAAGTTATCCAAATAATGTGTGTTCCAAAAAAATAATTGGAATTTGTATGGCTATAAGTCAGGGATGGGAAAATGCCGGAGCGGCCACAGTTTTTCATCAATGTTGCGGGGGTTGTGAGGGGTCACATAGGACCACACACTTCCTAAACAGATTTATGACAAAAAATGCTCTTTTAAATGTCGAAAAAATGCATGCGTATGTGCAAAATATGCGCCATTAATGTATTTCATTTTTGAGAATACATTTTTCAATGCATCTATTAAAAGATCCACTATCCCAGTGCGCGGGCTATCTTGCATAAACTTACCTTTCAAAGATGGCACAAAACTACAGAACAAGAAAACTACACTGAGTGTAATTTTTTTCTAATTTACCCAAAATGTTTATATTATTGAGGCACTGTTTGTCCTGCATAGCATTCCAGATCATAAGCGCAACTACGAAAATCTGCCATCTAGTGGTGATTGGTGATATTACAACCTAAAACTACAGTTGACCCCTGCACATTTGCAATTCGACACCCGTGGATTCACATCTTAGCAAATTTTTATCTTTTTTTTTTTTCTAGATCTTTTTGTAGTCTTCCAGGATTTTCTTCCACCCCATTTTTCCCTGCTTTTTCTATATATATATATATATATATATATATATATGTATATATATATATGTATATATATATATATATATATATATGTATATGCAAGGAACAAGCAAAAAAAAAGGAATTGGCCATTTAAAAAACTCACAAAAGCATTTTTATAATGTATTTTATGAATCTGTAAGAGTATACACTTTTTGATTGAAATGCACCTCAATGCATCATGAATCTCTTCATCTCACATTTTCTGTGGAAAGAAGGAATTTATTTTTAAAGGTTTTCCTTTATTTAAAAAAAAAAACAGCTTCACACAGTACCAGAGGATGCTAGGGACACTGGCCCAATGTGAATTCTCCCTGGGGAAGACTCTGATGGTCTATGATATGAATCTGAGGGAAATGGAGAATTATGGCACAATCTACTCCAATATAGGTAAACGTTTTTTCTTTCATTTCGTTATTTACTTATATATTAAAAGTTCACTACACACTGTTTGTGTGCGTGCTGAAAGACAATAGTCATCGCCTTCTCTCCATTTGGCAGAACAAAATATAACTTCAGCACATGAGAAGATAGCAGAATGCAAAAAGGAAATCCAGAGAGCGAAGAGAGTAAGAAAGAACCGCCAAGGTAAGACTATTTACGTAATTGTTCTCAAAATCTGTTTAAAGTCTCTTCCTAACCCCCCCACCCCCACTGATTTATGCATGTGTCAAAATTAGTCATTCATTAGTTTCTATGTCTGACGAATATCATAAGCTCAGTATGATTCAGTGTGCAAGTGTTTTAACACTGTAATCACATTATACTTGAGTGATTGTTATTTTTGGGTATACCAGAAGAGTGCTCGGTGCCTTTTGACATTTTTATTTTTCTCTTGCAGAATACGATGCTCTTGCAAAGGTTATTCAGAATCACCCTAATCGTCACGAAACACTCAAGTGAGTTTAGTGGAACTTTTAAAGTCAAACCCAGTCTTTTCTGTGACCATTAACTGCATTTCTTTTCTTGAATTTTAAACTGCTTTGTTTTGCCTATAGAAAACAACTTTTCTGCCACCTTTCTGTAACCTTTGTGCTTACAGGCAGTTGGAGGCACTTGACAAAGAACTCCAGCAGTTGTCGAACATCAAGGAGAATGTGGACGCTAAGGTAAAGAAACGCTTCCCATGTTTATTTTTAACGACCCGGACGGATTATTTGGATGACGTGAACTTTGTACGGTCACAATTTCAGTTGGAGCTACGGAAGAAACAGTTCCATGTGCTACTCAGCACCATACAAGAACTACAGCAGACCCTTGAAAGTGAGTCGTCAACCCGCACCACAAATGACAAAACGTCCTATTGTTTTTGTCTGTTTTTTCTAATGATTTGAATCTCACGCAGATGATGAGAAATTAGACACGGATGAAAACAATCAGCAAAGTCCGTCTGGGAGCGCCGAATGATGAACTCCGTTCTTTTGTTTCGAATGAAGTGAACCAATTTTGTTTGCAACATCTTCTGTATTTTTTTTTTTTT